CAATCCACCCATCTGAGCCTAAAGGTAACTGAGGATGAGGACTGTATCCCAAACAGCTTTGACTCTCCCCTGGTGACCTGCACTGAGGATGTGGTTTAATACTCTCTCTCTCAGACCTTAGGGACCTGCAGTCTGGAAGATTTAGATTCAAACTCTCCAATGGACCATTTCTGTAGGGAGAGGTCAGTCACAGCTGGTGTTCTGAGCCTGTCCCTGGAAATGTTTGGAAAATGTGGATCTTTCCTGGATTCAGAACCATCCTCCGCCCAGCAAGAGACCCTCACCCTCAGACTCACCGAGAAATAGACATTGCCGTCGGGCAGGACTCCGCCAACAACCAGATCGCTTCCCACTCTGGTGTAGCGATTTGTGACACCCAGGCCCACCCAGCCAGCTGTCCGGACCTGGAGCTCAAAAGTAATGATCTCAGCCTCATAGTCAAAGTCCCAGCGCAGGAAAATGACATTAGAAGGATCTAGGAACCTGGAATAACGCAGCCGAGAGGTGGGGCCAAGGCGGTTGCCTTGGGAGGGGGCTGCCAGGGCCGTAAGCAGGAGAAGCTGGAAGAGAAGGGCACGGGCCATGGCTGCTGGGGTCTGGAGCCCCTCTCCTTAGATGGACACTCAAGACGTACGGACTTATATGTACGCCTACCTGTGCCAGGCACTGGGCCATGGGGAGGGACCGACGGGGGCTCTTCTGATCTGATTATCTCTGGGCTCAGAGTGGTGCCGCTTACGTAACCGGGGAGGTGGAAGGCGCCCAGGGCAGATTGCTCTTGCCCTGGAGTAGGGACCTGGCATGAAACTGTCAGGAATAAATCATTCAGACTCTTCCATCTCAACCACATGCCGGGGTCCTGCCTATGGGGACCCTGCAAAATCAAGGAGGATGTTTCTCTGTGCCTCCCTTTCTATTTCTCGCTCTCTTCCCCTCCATTCTCTCCCTTTCTGCACTCCCCCTCCGCCCCCCCAAACCATCCCTGTAGCCTTAGATGTCCTTTCCAGCACTGCTCTCTGGCATATGTCCCCTACCCCAGTTTTTATGGGCATTTTCTATTTCATCTCTATACAGAAGTGAGGCACAGATGGGGCGGGGTGGGTGCACATGACCCAGCCTTTCAGCCTCCCTGCGGCACAGGAAGGAGAGGAGGTGTTGGGAGGGGAGGAAGGGAAGGCTATGATTTCCATCTCTCAGAGGAGTCTTGACTCCTAATCCTGGAAGGATGCATGAAGGTAAAGGAGCCATAATCAGCTTTCCAGGTGGGCGAGTCTGGGGCAGCTTTGAGTTTCTGCGCATTCTTGGGGAGAAGTGAGGACGAGGAGGAGGAGGGAGGAGAAGGAGAGGGAGAAAAATGGGGAATAAAGTGAATTTGCCTTTAGGATGCTTTGTGCCTTTCCCTTCCTCCCACAAATGGCCTTGCAGAGAAGTCACATTCGGGGACTCTCCACTGGTGACCTGGCCAACCTCACCACTGGCAAGCACTTCGGTTCGAGGGCAACAAAGAAGGATGGAAGATACTAGAATATCGGAACACCAGAGTGAAAAGGAACTTTAGATCCATTTGATCTTCCAAAAATTCCAGTCCACTTCATTTCCAGATGAGGAAATGGAAGCACCAAGGAGAAATACGCATAGTGGCTGATCGTCCATCGGTCGGTGGCAGAGCTAACACGGGAACACAGGGGCCCTGCCCCCAGGACAGTGCTCTTTCTGTTATTTGTTTAGGTCACAGACACCCACAAGGCATGCAGCCCCCTGCCATACACATCCACCATGGCTGGCCCTGGTGGAGGGAGCTGGTGTCATTTGCTGGCTGCTCCTTAGGGAGGGGGCCAGAGTCTCTAGCATCTGACACAGCTGGTCCAGAGCTGGAAATCGCCTCGTCTGACCCTCAGTGTCCTTCCTGCATTAGACAGACAATGGAGAGGACTGGAAAAATTAACAAGGACACGTGCCTGGAGGCATAGAAACTGCACCACACATCTCCACACAGGAATTCAGCTTAAATGAGGACGGACAGAAGCTGGAGCATCTGTTTTTGGCTCCGTTCAGGGCACTCAGATTCTTCTCATTACCTACCAAGCTCATCCAAGCTGGTAAGGACCCAGCGGAGGTTGCCTGCAGCTGCTGGGAGCACCTGAGTAGTCACTGGGGCATGGCGGGGAGGAAACACCTTTCCCAAGGGGGCGACCATAACGCCCAACTCTTGAGCAGGGCAGAGAAGGTGGGCAGCTGGGCAGCCGTCTGGAAGGAAGAGGCTTACCTAGGCCGGGACGGGAGCCGGGCCAAGACCAGAGGAGGAGCCCGGGGAGGCACCGACCTTGAGGAACGGGAACCCAGGGAGGAGATAACAGGAGTGTCAGAGCCACTCTGATCCCAATCGCACTTGGGGATTAAAGCGAAGGGAGACGGGACAGCCAGCCCTGTAAACCGAGAAGGGACCAGCATCTCCTCCTGCAAGCTGCCCTCTGGTCGGAGCGCTGGCCTTGGGGAGAGGCGGGGGCCCAGGAACGAGGTGGGGGCCAGTGACTGCAACTCAGGGCATCTCTGCTCCGGGGCTGACTTTCCAGGGGGCTCTCCCCTACGTCTTCTCCTTCTTCCCTCCAGTCCCAGTTTCCTCCCCTCTCCCAGCCCCAGTGCCTTTCACCATCCAAGCCCCAGAGTGACTCTGTCTCCACAGCAAACTTCAGGATTAAGTGCACGAGGCGAGGACACCTCATCTCGGTGTGGGCATTGCTCTGGTATTCAGGAGGGGTGATTTGGGCAATGCTCCCCAGAGTTCATCTGCCTCTGGCGTGACGAGGCTGGGACACTGGGTAAGGGGGCAAAAGTGAATCAGCACGTGAGATCAGAGCAGTGGTTACCAGAGGGGAAGGGGGTGGGAGGTGAAATGGGTGAAGGGGGTCACAGTCAACTGCACGGTGACGGATGGTGACGAGACTTGCGGTGGGCACTCTAGTGTGTACCGATGTCACCTTACAACGCTGTACATCTGAAACTTACCTATAGTTAAAAAAACCAGATTGTGACCCCCATGAAAGGGTATTGGCACTTAGTTACTTAGTACACAGTATGATCAACATCTTGTGCGCATCTAGATTAGGCACATTTGAAAGAGTATGATACAGACAACGTTAACAAAGTTACTTTAGA